AACAGAGTAAAGGACAAAAACCATATGATCACTTCACTAGATGCAGAAAAAGCTTCTGACACAATACAACACCCAGTCATCATAAAAATCCAACAGAAAATTGGAGTTCATGGTGTTTATCTCAATCTGATAAAAGTCATGTATGATAAACCAACAGAAACACCATACTAAATGGACAAAAACTGAAAACTTTCTTTCTAAAATCAGGAACAAGATGAGGATGTCCACTATCACCACTCCTATTCAATATAGTGTGGTAACATTAGCCAGAGCAATTAAATTAGAGAAAGAAATAAAGGGAATAAGAGTAGGAAAGGAAGAAGTTAAATTATCATTATTTGTGGATGACATGATACTCTACATAGAAGACCCCAAAAACTCCACCAAAAAACTTCTAGATTTAAAAACCAAATTCAGTCATGTAACTGGATATAAAGTCAAGACTCAAAAATCAATAGCCTTCCTGTACAAAAATAATAAACTCACTGAGAGCAGAAATAAGGGAAGCAATATCTTTCACAATAGCATCAAAAAAGAAAACAAAAAAACAATCAACCAAACAAACAAAAAAACCCCAGAAATACCTAGGACTCAATCTAACTAAGGAAGTAGAAGACCTCTACATTGAGAACTACAGTTCTCTGAAAAAGGAAATTGAAGAGGATATCAGAAAGTGCAAAGATATCTCCTGTTTTGGGGTAGGAAGTACCAATATAGTGAAAATAGCCATACTTAGGAGCTGGGCGTGGTGGGACACTCCACTTGGGAGGCTGAGGCAGGAGGACCATTGCAAGTCCGAGGCCAGCCTGGGCTACAAAGTGAGCTCAAGTTCAGCCTGAACTGCATAGCAAGACCCTGTCTCAAAAAGACAAAAAAAAAAAAAAAAAAAAAAAAAAAAGAAAAGAAAGAAAGAAAAAGAAAATAGCCATACTTCCAAAATTGTTATACATATTTAATGCAATCCTGATCAAAATTCCAATAGCATATGTCACAGAACTGGAGAAAGAAATCCTAAAATACATTTGGAACCAGAAGAGACCTACAATAGCAGAGGCAATTCTGGGCAACAAAGGCAACAAATGGGGATCACAACCCCTGACTTGAAATCATACTACAAAGCTACCTTGATAAAAGCAGCATGGTACTGGCAAAACAAAAACAAACAAAAAACCAGCTGGGGATATAGCTCAGTGGCACAAGCACCTGCCTGGCAAATGCAAGGTCCTGAGTTCAATTCCCAGTACCAAAACATCTAAAAAACCAAATAAACAAAAAACCAGACCTGACATTCAGTGAAACAGATGAGAAGATGCAGAAACAACTCTAGACATATTCAGCCACCTTATCTTTGACAAGAGGCAAATAGCTTCACTGGAAGATGGATAGCCTCTTTAATAAACTGTACTGGAAAAACCAGCTTTTCACATGTTGAAATTTAAAACTAGACCCATATCTTTCACCATGCACTAAACTAATATTTAAATGGAGCAGACTGGGTGTGATGGTGCATACCTGTAATCCCAGCACTTGGGAGGCTGAGGCAGGAGGATGGTCATGAGTTCAAGGCCAGCTTAGGCTACAAAGGGAGCTCAAGGCCAGCCTGAACTGCATAGCGAGACCCTGTATGAAAAAGACAAAAATAAATAAATAAATGGATCAAAGATCTAAATATTAAAACAGAAACAGTAAACCTGATAGAAGATAGAATAAGTAGAACTCTTGAAGACATTGATGTAGGCAAAGCTTTATGAAGAAAATCCCAATCACACAGGAACTATCATAAAGAATCAACAACTGAGATCTCATCTTACTGAAAAGCTTTTGCACAGCAAAAGATACCATCAACAGAGTGCAGAAACAACCCACAGTGAGCTAAAATTTTTTTGCCAGCTGTTCCACAGACAGAGGACTAATATCTAGAATATATAGAGAATGCAAAATCAGACCTCCCAAATTTAAAGACCCAATTCAAAAATGGGCATTTAAAAGAAATGGACACTTCTCAGATGAAGAAGTAGAAATGGTAAATAAATACATGAAGAAATGTTCAACATCAGTTATCACCCAAGAGATGCAAATTAAAACAATGCTGAGATTCCATCTCTCTCCAGAAAGAATGGCTATTATCAAAAAAACAACCGGTAACAAATGCTGGTGGGGCTGTTGGGGAAAAAGGAACACTTCCTCATTGTTGGTGGGAGTGTATACTGGTGCAACCACTGTGGAAATCAGTGTGCACATTCCTCAAAAAACTCGGATTAGAGGTTCCATTTGACCCAGCTATTTTTCTTTTTGTCTTCTCATAATAATCAAAAGTATCACACCACAATGATATATGTACACCTACATTTATAGTAATAAATTTTTTTTGAGACAGGGTCTTACTATGCAGTTTAGGCTGGTCTTGAACTCATTTTATAGCCCAGACTGGCCTCAAATTCCCAAGAGTCCTCCTGCCTTGCCTCCCAAGTGCTGGGATTACAGGTGTGCACCACCATGCCTGGCTGTATAATAGGTAAATTTTGAAAACAGCCCAAATATGCATCAACTGATGAATAAAGATGTGTTTTATGTAGAATGGAGTACTATTCTGCCATAAAGAAGGAAAAGCTTGAGGCATTTCTAGATAAATGCACACATCTGAGACCAATGTGGAGGACATTCTTTGATTAGAATGCATTGAGGACACAATGATTTGTTTAACCTTGAGTTTACGATTCTCCTGTCTCAGCCTCTTGAGTGCTGGGATTATAGGCATGTCTTGAGTGCTAGGATTACAGGCATGTCTTGGATTACATGTGGAAAAGGATAATCCTTTGATTATCCTTTCTAAAACGTTTTGTATCCACCCATTAGTACTAGCTACGCCCTAGGTTCTCGTTCAATAAAAGGTGACTGAAATTGGTAGGCAAGGACAGTCCTAGCAGCGGCAGTCCTAGCAGCTGCAGTCTGAGAGGCTGTCAGCCCCTGATCTCAGACTTTTGCCTCTCTTGGTTTTCTTGTCTCTCTTTACTTTTCTCATTGATCCACAGGCACCTCGTTCTCAGGACCAGTTCACCCTAGAGAGATAGGGATGAGTAGTCCCACATTAAGCGAAATACATCAGGCACAGATGTGTGAATATTGCATTGTTTCTCTGCTGTGAGAAATAGAAAGTGTAAATAAGAACCAAAAAGTACAATAGATACTGTAAAATGGGAAGAAAATGCTCAAATGAGAAGTGGAACAAGGGGTGGGGGAGGAAGAAACAAGAAGGAAAGAAAAAGAAGGAGAAAAATGGAAACAAAGCTTTTGCAAATAAGTAGGGGAAGAAGGGTTGAAGAGGGTAATGGAAAAAAGAATGAAGATCTATCATGTACAGGCGGAAATTCACTTTGATTAACGTTATTATATAATCTAAAATGTACCAATAAAACTTTTAAAAACGCAAAAAACAAAACTCTGGAGCATGAATACTTCAGATTATTCCTGCAGAAGAAATTCTCCAAGAGGTCCTAAGTAAGCATATGTATTAAGGGCATCAATCCACCACATATATAGAATTTGTGTGCTTATGTGTAAGTGGAGTTTACAATTTTTAAACTTTTTAATTTTGGGGCATTGGAAATTGAACCCAGAGCCTTGTGTATGCCAAGAACTTGCTTTACCCTCCACCCCTAGTTTCTGTTTTCTTTCATTTGTTTTGTTTTGAGACAAGGGTCTCATTATGTAATTCAGGCTGGGCTTGAGCTCATTGTGTAGCCAAGGCTGGTCACAAACACATGGTGGTCATCCTGCCTCACTTCCTGATTGGTGGGATTATAACGATGTGCAACCATGCCCGGCAGGCCCTAGTTTTCAATGCAGTGTGCAAGTCTCTAAGAAATGGAATTGAACAGGACCCTGTCTTAGCCTAGTACTGTTGTTAAGCATTTGTTGCTACTCCCAACAGACTGGCGGGGGGAGGGGGGGTGTCTTCCAAATAATTACTTAAAAGACATTGTTAAACAAAAAAAAGATATTCCCAATAACTTATTTTTTGCGTTTAATACTTAACAAAATATAACATGTTTTGATTAGCAGCTTTAAAATGGTTGATGGCATTAAACCACTTTAATGCTTACTTGTCTGATGGGTTTGAAAATTACTTAACAATTTCAAATGTATTACAAAACGTGTTATATAAAAATGCAACTATTTAAATTCATGGCAAAGTTTAGTCAACTTAAAATGTTTGATGGGAGAAAGTATGTTCCAAAGTCCTACAAAGGGTGAAAATGTTTTAAAAAATGAAGATCTTATCTCTCTCGGGCCTGGCCTCCTTCATAACTTGCTTATCTCAAGTCCTCTGCCCTCTCCCTGCTCAAGCTACTCTATTCCAGGCACAGTGACTCTTAGATGTCTGCCAACAAGCTCAGAATCCCTGTTTGCCTCAGGCCCTTTGCACTTGCTACCAGTTTTTCTACCCCAAAATTCTTTTGCACAGAGGGTTCTTCTCTTTATCAACAGAGGCCTTCCTCCTTGTAACTCTTTCCACTCTTTTTTCTTAACAGAAATTACTACTCTCTGACATAATTATTTTCCATTTTCCTACATTAGATTGTAAACTATTTGCAGGTGAGAGTACATTTATTTTGTTCTTACTGTAACCCCAGCAGATCTAACACTACCTCACACACAATAAAAAGGCTAATAAATATTTTTGAAATAAAACTGTTTTATGTGGTTTATTTTTATTAATATATTTTTTGTTGGTGCTGGGGCTTGAACCTACAGGCTCTACCACTGAGCTACACCCTAGTCCTGCAAGGGGGTAAGGACTTACACCAGCGTATTTCTAGAATTTACAAGCCTAATTCTTAAAGAGCTATTGCACTACACAGTCTCCCAAATACTTTTTCAAATAAAACGACAACTTTTTCCCTTTTATTTATCGGTACTGGAGATTGAACACCTTCTGTACTTAGCTTTTGTACTTAGCTCAGTACAACAAGGTCCTTCAGGACCTTTTAATTTTGCAGCATGGTCTTGCTAATCCATCCAGGCTGGGCTGGGCTCACGACCCTCTTGCTCCCAGAGCACCGGAAGGACAACCAGGCGCCGCTGCGCCGGGCTGTAAGGCAACCCCGTTACTGACATCGCTACCCACGGTCACTCGGCCCTGCCCGCCCCCAGGTGACTCTCAGGACACAGCAGGGCAGGTAGGTGACTCCTCTAAGGGAGCACCTCAGAAGGAACTTCTGTAGGCTCTCTCCCCCACTTCCTGACTCAGCTCTGGGGCGTGGTCCTGGCACCTCTGCTTTGGAAAAGCTCCGCTGATTTTCTGATCTGCAGCTAAGGCTGAGAAGCACCCAATGAAGCTAAAAGTAGCTGTCACGGAGTTTCTCCTTCAAGTCTTTTCAGCCTATTCGTGGCAGACCTGCAGCTGAAAGAAAGAAAAGCGCCCTGCGTTACCGCTCCCCACAGGCACCGGGCCTCCGGGAGCCGCCGCGAGTCCCCTCCCCGCGGGCCCCGGAGACCGCGGCGTCCGACAGCGCAGCAGGTGAGGCCCCGCGGAGACCCTCGGCGCGGGGGCCGGCGCCTCCCGGTAGACGTCCCCGGGAACCCTCGGCCCGGCGTCCTCTGCTCCCTCTTCTTCCGCCGCCTCGCACCACGGCTGCGCCTGGACTCAAAACCACGGCCCGCCGCAGACTACCCAGCGTCCACGCTTCTGACTTCGAAACTGCCTCCGGAGCTCACGAGCTGCTCGCCGGATACCGGCGACCGCACCGGAGCCAGACACCGGCGAC